CAAAAGTAAGTGATCTATCAAGTAACTAAGAGCTCATGGAAAACCATGGATGGAAAGGGTGCTAATACCTTCCCTTTTCATAATCTACCCTCTGAACTCAAGAAAACATCTCAAAGGTCTTTCCTGTTCTTTTCAGCCTTTCCTTTTGGATAAAAGAAAAGTCGGTGGCGACTCTTGCTAACCGCAACATTTGCGATCAAACGCAAAACAACCAAGTCAGTTCTCCTACCATATTACACATATCCATGGAGATAGGTTATAAATCATGAGAATCACAAGCCATGTGGTATATGAGATACTTTGAAGACCATGTGGGTTCATTCCATCAGTAGATAATGCCAAGCGAAGGTTTCTTGCTTCTTCTTTAAAATCAGGATAATCATCATCAATTTTCGACCACTGTGGTGAATCTGTCGGATGTCGATACTTTCCATCAATAATTCTTTCATCTGTGTGCCAAGTCAAGTGTCTTGCATCAATTTCACTATGAAACATGCGCCTAAATATTGGAATTATAGGAAAATACCATAAGACTTTTGTTGGAGACAATTTTTTCTTATATTGAGATAAACTGCATTTAGGGCACTCATTTAACGATGCATATTCGTTTCGAAACAAAACACAATCGTTTGGACAAGCATGTATCTTATCATAGCTCATGCCAATAGAGCACGACATTTTTTTGGCATCATAGGTTCGATTAGGAAGAACATTATCCTCTGGAAGCATATCTCCCATAAGGACTAATAACTCTAAAACTTTTATCCGACCATCCATTGCCCGTCTTTAAGTTGTACAACTTTAATACTGCAGACAATCTTATGAATTTATTGCAACCTTTATACAACAGTTTCTCTGCATCGCTTACCAACCTCTCAAACATTTTGGGACAATCCTTAAGATCTTCTTCAAGTGCTTCTGCAATCTATTCGATTCGATCACAATCGTATGTATCCGTGTGATTGTCGTCTGGAGCATAGGTCGTCGTATTACTTTTCTCCCCCGGTTCAACATTCTCGTTAATTTTCTCACCATGATATATCCAACACTTATAACTTCGATCAATCCCACGCGTTAGTAAATACGATTTCAATCCATCTGCGTCAACCCGACCCATATAACAATAACCTAAGCAAGGACATTTCATTCGATTGAAGTCTTTGACGTGTTCAACAACAAACTTAACAAATTCCAATACCGCATTTTCGTACTCTTTTGGAAATCGATCGACAGTCATCCATTTTTTATCCATGCAATTACTACTAATTAAGGTAAACAAAAACACTATAATTATTCACGCAACTATTTCAAAAGAACATAAAGAAAAACACTTTTGCAACACAAAAGAATATTAATACAAACTTTTAGAAATATTTCGTAAGATTTAAACGGATTAGTTCTAGATCGATATAGACTAAAATTAATTATTTCTATATAAAATTAATTGGGCTTTTTAATTGATATAGATAGAATGTTTTATAATTTATGAAGCAGATAGTAAATAAATAAATGAGTCGATAATGTTGAATTTGAACTCGACTTACCAAAGAAAGAAGAGGGGTTATTGGTGCCGACGATGGATGATGTTGCTTTGATGTTCTTCGAATCAGTGATGGTCTTCGACTAACTACACCAATACAAAAAAGTCTTAACCAACTTTTTGGTAAGCACACTAACATTGAAAATGCATAGAGTTGAGAATAAAATCACGATACCAATCCTCAAATGAAAATAAAATCAAAGAACTCATTTTGTTACACATCTTAAGAATCAGAACATGGAAAATTGTTTTCAACACATGATTTATTCGATTAAACAAAAATCGGGCAGAAACTATAACAAGGTATGAATGCTCGATAATTTTAACTCAAGAAGATTCGAAACAAAATGGGAAAGCACCTGATGTTACAACCATGCGAACTTTCAAATTTAAATCAAATTACATAATAAATTTATCTTAATCTCAAAGCAACGGTAAAAGATGAATTTCTTCCCCATGAATGGTTCTCGACTATATCTTATGTGAATAGCGCGGCATAGACATCAAGTCGTCATCGAAACCAAAATTAAATAAAACTATCGGAACAAAGTGTCACCATAACCGAATTAAACCTTGAATTCATAACAACATGCATCAAAATCTCTTTCAAATTTTCTCACACAAAGTGACACAACATTAAATTCAAACCTGAAACTCTAGCAAATAAAACAAAACGGGTAGCCCCAATAGTTTCTCGGTTAGTTTATACATGAATAAACGCGACATCAACATCCAACCTTCATCGAAACTAAATAAAACTGGACAGCCTAATAAAGTTTATATCACTAACTAATCGAGCTTATAAACATGTTACAGGTTTTGCAGAAATGTAGAAGGAAATATCTAGAAACGTAGAAGGAAATGAATACCTAGAAATGTAGAAGGAAATCTTGAACCAAGCTTAACAAAACCAAATTTTGGTGAAATGGTTGATGGAAGTCCTACAAGAGAGTCCAAAAAACCAAATGTTATAAACCAAATACCTAAAGAACCATAGCAACAGTAGAGATAGGAACAAGGGAAACTTACCTTGAGATACGGTGGAGGACGGCAACTGAGGGACGGCGAAAGGAGGGCGGTCGGAGGAACAGCGGAAGGAGGGCGGTCGGAGGGACGACGGAAGGAGGGCAGTATCGGAGGAACGACAGAAGGACGAAGAGAAAAGTGTTATGTGAATAGAAACGAGTTCTGGAGGGATTCTATTTTTTAATTCTAATTATATGACTTTAGACAACACTTTTGAGAAGTGTTGGCTAATATGGGCCTTTAGCAGCGCTTTTAAGATTTTTTATTTAAAAATTTTATGACTTTAGACAGCGCTTTGGAGAAGCGCTGGCTAATATAGTCCTTTACCAGCGCTTTTTTAAAGCGCTTTCTAAAGCAACCCTTTTAGCAGCGTTTTTCATATTTTGTTTTTAAAATTTATATGACTTTAGACAGCGCTTCGGAGAAGCGCTGGCTAATGTGGTCCTTTACCAGCGCTTTATTTAAGTGCTTTCTAAAGCAACCCTTTTAGAATCGCTTTTCAGAATTTTTTTCTAAATTTATATGACTTTAGACAGTGCTTCAGAGAGGTGCTGCCTAATGTGGTCCTTTACCAGCGCTTTTTTTAAGCGCTTTCTAAAGCAACCCTTTAGCAGCGCTTTCAGAAGCGTTGTTTAAGGTCGGCCTTTTAGCAACGTTTTTACCCATTTTCGTATACAGTTTCTGTGTTTTATTTTTTAATTTACTTATAGCACAGCGTTTTTGTATAAAAGCATTGTCTAAGGTGCGCTGTCTAAAGTCCTTTTTGGCGTAGTGATTATCATTTACTTCCTTTAACAACACCAAAATCTAAAGCATATCAACAACCCAATAATAAATTTGTATCTACATAAATTTTTGTCATAAAATCTGAATAAAAACGAACATAATGAAGAACAATCCAATACACGTCACAATGTTAAAAAAGAAACCATAGCTAAGAACATTAACTTTTAGAAAGTAGTACCAGTACCACATCGAGAGAGAGAGAGGAGAGAGAGAGGAGAGAGAGAGAGAGAGAGAGAGAGAGAGAGAGAGAGAGAGAGAGAGAGAGAGAGAGAGAGAGAGAGAGAGAGAGAGAGAGAGAGAGAGAGAGAGAGAGAGAGAGAGAGATGATGATAAAATATCGTAAGTCGAAGAGGATATTCGTTTTCAGAAATGAGTGAAGATGGTTAAGATTTTGTTATCGCTGTCGTCTTGTTCCCTAGGGCACACTTGTGTGTTATGACCAAAATAAATTGCCTGTTATATTTTTATTAAGTGAAGAGAATTTGACAACGATTTCAAAAAACAACTGTAGTGAAATATAGAGCAAATAACCTCGATTGAATGAAACAACTATGATTGTTATATTTTCAATTTTTAAATAACCAAAAATGTCAAGGGTCACACGCTTATTTTTATTGAAAAAATGAAAATATCGATGCTGGGATTCAAAGCTTGTCACCCAATTTCTATAATCACGGTTGAGTTTAAGAACCGTGATGAAATATTTCTTAATTAAATAAAATAAATTAATGCTCGTAAAAAAACAAAATATAACTACGGTAAATAAATATTTTTTGAAATACATATTCACTGTAGATATGTTTTGTAATAATGAGAGCTGCCCACAAACCTACCAAAATACATTTTCAAGCCAAGAAAATATTAAGTCTTTCACGTCCTTTGAATTCACCAATTTACTAGAGAATCTTATATTATTCTGAATTTTCAAATAGATTAAATCATAATATACTAAATCAATATAACCCCCCTCTAATCCTAGATAGACTAGCTAACATCTAAAAAGTTTGTTCCATTTTGTAATGTTGTATAACCTATGTGTTTTTTTTTTCTCTTTCTAATATATAATTTTGATTTGCTATTAAAACAAAATTCACATATTTTTATAAAATCTATTCATTTAATTTAAATAATTGTAATTCTGATTTTCAATTGAATTAACCACAACTTAACCGAATTAATAATATTTTTATATATAATTGAAATGTAAAAAAAAAGTATACATATATCATTACCTAATAAAATGTTAAGAATAAAAATTAACCCTAAACCATTTTTTTAGTTAATACTTCTTACACATTCCAACTCTTACCACTATTTGGATACTTGCATCATATAGTAATCTATAAGGTGGCAATGTTAGAGTGAGAAAGAAAAAAGAGAAAATAAGGAGTGAGGTGTCTTTTTACAAAGGAAGGTATACATGTTAGAATAAGATAACTTTATTTCTTTTTACAAATAAAATAAAATAAAATATATAATATTTAATACATTATTTTAAGTAAGGCTTGTTCCTTCTCACATGCTTTATACTTGAGAACGTTAACAAAAACCATTCACTTCTCATTCTCTCCTTCAAAAACGCACCCTATTCTTCCCTATTTTGCATCGGCATTTGTTCTTGAATCTCTGTGGTATTCTCTTCACAGAGATGGAAAGAATGTTCCCTACAAAGAAGCCTTCAACTATGAATTCACATGATAGACCCATGTGTGTTCAAGGTGACTCAGGTTTAGTTCTTACCACCGACCCGAAACCTCGTCTTCGTTGGACTGTTGAACTCCATGAACGTTTTGTTGATGCTGTTACTCAACTTGGAGGACCTGATAGTACTAATCTCTCACCTTTTTTGTTCTTTTCTTTATTTCAATCATTGTTGAGGTTTCATGACATGAAAATCTCTTGAATTTTCCAGAGGCCACTCCTAAAACTATTATGAGGGTTATGGGTGTCAAGGGTCTCACTCTTTACCATCTCAAGAGCCATCTTCAGGTTTGAGATAGAACACTCGTAAACACTTACCGAATCCTGTCTTAGATTGAACTGGTGCAGTGCAGCCAAAAAAATTTACTACGACTGCACTGCAACATGAGACAGGATTCGAGTATGTGGATGTTGGAGACGATCCCAATTTAATTTCTAAAGTTGGTTTCATATTTCTTTTTTGATTTATATAACTTTCTATTGTTTTTTCTTTTTGTTGTTTCTATTACAGAAATTTAGGCTTGGAAAGCAACCCCACAAAGAATTCAATGATCACTCAATTAAGGATGGTATGAGAGGTGACAGTTCTTTTCTTTCTAGGGTTTCACAATTTTTATTTTTTATTTTTTGCACTTTGAACTTTATGATCTTTACACATGATGTACAGTTCTTGTGTATTGACAAAATCTTTTTGCACTGCCAGCTTCAGCTTTAGAACTGCAACGAAAATACTGCTTCCTCTTCTGCCATGATTGGCCGCAACATGAATGAGTATGCATGCTTAATTAATTTCCTTGTTATAATTTTAAACCATATGTGTATATAAATAAAATTTGAAAAGACTTTTCAAAATTCTTCTTGGTTTTTTTTTTCTTATTATGATTCTTTATGACTAAGTAACTCACTTATGGTTGATGAAATTAGGATGCAAATTGAGGTGCAAAGAAGACTTCATGAACAGCTTGAGGTAAACACACAAACTTTATATAAGATCAAAAAATTATTTGTATTAGTGCATGTTTCAGAATTACAATAAATTTGACAAAATCATACTCAATTATTTTATAATTTTGTTAAATTTTTAAAGTAAAATTCGAAATATATTTTTCCAAATTTTTTTGATCCAACCACTGATAATCATCTCCTTCACTATTTCCTAATTTTCTTTTTTAAATCTCTATCTCGCACTTAGTCGTGCTTTCTTTTTATTAAAACTAAAAAATAATCAAGAGAGAATTAAGAAAGAGATAAAAAGTAAGAAAAGAAAAAATAATAATACTCAAGAAGAGGTTTTAAAATCATCCAATTACGAAATTATGATATTGAACGTGAATCCTCTCCAATTCCAGGATGGAGAGGATCCAATTTTTTATATAAATATCCTTTGTAATGGAGATGTTCCAATTATATTTCAGGTGCAAAAACACCTTCAACTAAGGATTGAAGCTCAAGGAAAATACATGCAAAGTATATTAGAGAAGGCTTATCAAACCCTTGCAGGTGAAAACATGGCATCAGCTACAAACTAACCTAAAGGGTGTTGTAATTGGACCTCAAGGAATTCCAGAAATCGGACTATTGAAAGAATTTGGTTCACCTCTTAGTTTCTCATCTTTTCAAGATCTCGACCTTTTCGGAAACAACATCGGCGGTGATCAACTCGACCTTCAACAAAACTTGGAAAAACAAACCCTAGATCATCATGGATTCATCCAAATCAATGATAATCTATGTCTCGGCAAGAAGAGGCCAAACCCTAACACAAACCCCTTATAATGGAAATGGAAAGAGTCCTTTAATGTGGAGTGAGGATTTAAGGCTTCAAGATTTAGGACCAGCTTCATCATGCTTAGATGATCCTTTCAAAGGTGATCAAATTCAAATTCAAATTGCACCACCATCAATGGATAGAGGAAACGATATCGAAAGCATAGACATTTATGATACAAAGCCTTTACTTCAAGGAGAGATTCTAGGTGAAAAGAAATTCGATACATCGATGAATAATAAACTCGAAAGGCCATCACCAAGAAGAGGCCAACAACTTCATGCTGAGAGAATGAATAATCCTATGATTAGTACTGGTATCATGGCACAAGGTAGAGGCTCACCATTTGGATGAAAATGATTAATCATCTTAATTTTTAGATTATGTGATAATTATTTTATATTATATGTAATTGTTCCTTGATGTGAAACACTCTTAGGGTTTTGATTTTGGTTTTGGAAATCATCATGTAGTATAATTAATGCCTTTACATTGCATGGCAAACAAAAGTTTTAATTATTCTAACTAAAATATATAATTAAAGCACTTTAAATGTGCTTAGTTAACTAATGTGAGAATTCTCACTTGTATGTTTTTTACTTTACATCTTTATTGATTGATATTTAATTTGTTACATTTTGTTTTATAAAATATAGATGAATTCTACATGTCTGCATGTTGTTATGAGATGAGAAAAACTCGAAGCAAGCATATAAACTTTTCTTCTTTTTATCACATTGAGGGTTTTCTTTGTACTTTTTTTTGGACCCACTTGTGATTTT